TCTGGGTAAAGGATACTTTGCTGGCAGTATTTTCCTTCAACCTTCTACATATGACATCCCATTGCCTTTCTGTTTGCATGGTTTGTGTTGAGAAATCAGAAAACAATAGTTTCTCCTTTGTAAGTGACTCTTTGTTTTTCATGCCCCAAATTTAGTATCATATTCTTATCTTTTATTTTAGAGAATTTGACCATGTCTATTGATGTTTTTTCTTTTGGAGTATAATCTATTTGGGGTTTGCTGAGTTTTTTTTAATGTGGATTTCCCCATTCTTCATAATATCTGGGAAGTTCCCTTCTAATATCTCTTCCACAATTTTCTTAGTGCTTCCTGTCTTCCTTGTGTTCTGGAATTCTGATCATACATATGTTATTCCTTTTGATGTTATCTCACACAATTCTAATGTTTTCATTTTCCTTCTGTTTCATCTCTAATTTTTCTTCTAATATGTGCCCAATGAAGTTGTCTTCCAGCTCACTGACTGTTTTCTATCTCTTCTCTTTAGCAGGTTGAAAATTTCTGCCACTTCATTATGAATATTCTGGACTGCATTTTCATGCATTTTTTTTTTAATTCCCAATACTGTGCTGGTTGTACTGTCTGTCTTGTGATGAGCTTTCTAAATTCTTGTAGCTCTTTATCTATAGTTTCAATTCTTTCTCCCATCTTTTGCATTTTCTTCTTTAGTTGTTCAAGTTCCTCCACACTGACATATTTCTTCTGGCTCCTTGCCTCTGGAATATGCCCATTATTTATGGCTTCCTTCTTTCTTCTATTATTTGCACTTTCTTTCATAGATGTTCATATAATTCCACCTCAATATATTTCTTCTGGTTCTATATCTAGGTTATACACTTTATTTCTGGTTTCCATTTATTCTCTCATCATTTGTACCTTTCTCAGTACCTAATCACATGACTTCATGTCAACATATTTCTTCTACCTCCCTGACTCTGGGGTAATCATTGGGTCTGCCATATGCTCCGGTTTTGGTGTTTTGTTTTTTTTGTTTTTGTTTATTTATTTAAGAAAGAATGCTTACTTTGTTTTTACACAATGTTTGAAGCTGCTTGCTGCTTTCTTAACATTATGTGAAGTTTTTCGTGGTGTTAGGCCATTTCTATTGTGTCTGCATAGGTTGTTGATAGTTTTCTATCATGCTACTGATTAGTGACAGGCGTTTAAAAGTGTTTAGTCTATGGTGATGGGCAACTTGCTCTACGGGAAGTCCTTTCGGGGTCTGTGGAGTGAGAAAGTTTACCTTTTCTAACGTCCTTCAATTTCTTTCTGATCTGCAATGCAGCCCTGTAGGAAATCTCACCTCACTGCAGCCTCTTATCCTAAAGTTTATTGTCCTCTTCTGTCTACTAACTGGTGTGATCTGGTTCTCTAACTTAAGGTGTTTCTGTCCATGGGGGTTGTAGGAAGTTCCCTTGCTAGCATGTCAATATGCCAGCTGTGGAAGTGAGTCTCTCACCTGACAGGAACCCCCTCTCTTAAATTCTGTTGTCCTCTCTGGTCCATGAGATGTCCTCTTGGCAGTTAGGATCCCTAAACGCATTTTTTTTCTTGACTTGATTCCTTCTTTTCTTTTTTTATTTAGTGTGGGAAAGATGTATATTTATCTCTTTCTTGCAAATATAGATTCAAAAGGCATTACAAGCAGAAAATTCTGTGACAACACAGCTAACTGCTTGGCTTTCAACTACTGTCATGTGATTGAGACATAATATAGTAGAAGAGGAGGAAAGAAATGTTCCTCCTAGCTATTAAATGGTTTGTTGTGGTTGTTGTTGTTGTTGTTGTTATGTGCCGTCGAGTCATTTCCGACTCATAGCGACCCTATGCACAACAGCCCTAAACCCTGCTCTATCCTGCGCCAACCGCACCGCCTCTGACACACCCATCCCGATTACCCCAGTCACCGAATCAGTCCATCTCATAGAGGGTCTTCCTCTCCTGCGTTGTCCCTCAACCGTCCCAAGCATGATGTCCCTCTCCAAGGACCCGTCCCTCCTGGCAACATGTCCAAAGTATGTCAGACGAAGCCCCAGAATCCTTGCCTCCAAGGAGTACCTTGGTTTAATCCTCTCCAAGATGAATCTGTTTGTTTTCCTGGCAATCCAGGGTACATTCAGTACCCTTCTCCAGCACCACAGCTCAAAAGCATCCACTCTCCTTCTGTCCTCCCTAGTCATTGTCCAACTCTCTGATGCATAACAAGTGATTGCAAAGACCATGGCCTGTATCAGGCGCACCTTAGTCTCCAGAGAGACACTGTTGCTCCTGAGTACTTTAGAGAGGTCCCTAACAGCAGACTTTCCCATCGCGATACGCTTTTTGATTTCCTGACTGCTGGTGCCAAGAGTGTTGACTGTGGAGCCGAGCAAACTGAAGCTGTGAACAATCTCAATCTCTTCGTCATCCATCTTGATGCTGCCAATTGGTCCAGTGGTGAGAATCTTTGTCTTCTTGACATTGAGCCTCAGTCCATACTGAAGGCTGCAGTCCTTGACCCTTCACAGCAAGTGCATGAGGTCCTCCTCAGTTTCAGCAAGCAAGGTTGTGTCATCTGCATAACGGAGATTGTTAATAGACCTTCCACCAATCCTGATGCCACAATTCTCCTCATAGAGCCCAGCCTCTCGGATAATCTGCTCTGCATACATGTTGAAAAGGTATGGAGACAGGATGCATCCCTGGCGTACACCCTTCCCAATTTTGAACCATGCAGTGTTACCCTGCTCTGTTCTGACTACTGCCTCTTGGTCCAAGTATAGGTTTCGTATTAGCACAATTAAATGTTCTGGGATTCCCATTCTTCTCAGAGTCAGCCACAGTTTGTTATGATCCACACAGTCAAATGCCTTTGCATAATCAATGAAACACAGATAGACATTCTTCTGGTATTCTCTGCTTTCAGCCAAGATTCATCTAACATCAGCAACAATATCCCTAGTACCACGACCCCTTCTAAACCCAGCCTGGACTTCCGGCAGTTCTCTGCTGATGTGCTGTTCTAATCGTTTTTGGATGATCTTCAGCAGAATCTTGCTTGCATGTGAAATCAATGACACTGTTCTGTAGTTTCCACACTCAGTTGGGTCACCTTTCTTTGGAATGGGAACAAATATAGATCTCTTCCAGTCAGTTGGCCAAGTGGTTGTTCTAGATGGTATTGGTGATTAAATGGTAGTTTATTTAATATTTTATAAACTTCATATTTATTTATATCTGAGACTACTGCACAAATTGAGTGAGCAACCCTCAAACTTTTGGAATACAAGTAAAAGAGAAAAGCAAAACAAAACACCAAGTGAAGACATCAATACACTGCCAATCAAAGTCTCCTCTAATCCTCTAAAGATGTACTGTGGAAGGGATGGTCTGATAAACCAATCCATGTCAATGCATTCATGTGCTAATAACTGAATCAATTTATGGCATAAATGTGCAAGTACTAAGATAGTTCTCTTTTGGCAAATATACTGGGGTGTATACATGTAACATGGAGCTCTGGTGGCCTAATCTATACAGACTTGCCATGCTAATGCAAAAGCAGTGCTTCCGTGGCAGTTTGAATCCACCAGTGGCTCCAAAGTAGAAAGATGAGAAACTTCCTCCTGTGTGATTTAAGGCCTCTCAAAATCAGTGGGAAGGTAAGCTATGAGTTAGTTATGATTTGATGGTAATGAGTTTTAGCTCATACACATAAAAATTATATTAATTTATTTTAGAACTTTCCTTGTATTATTTTTATTATTATAAATGTTTTAAAATTAATTTTCATATGTTCAAAAATTTGACCTCCCAAACAAATCAATCTCATTACCTTAGAATTATATGTGATAAATTCCATTTTATGCAAGAAGGAGTTGAGATTGTAGTTTTAAGAGGTTTCTGTGCTGGAATTCCTGCGATCATATCAAAGAAGTAGCATGTTCTCTAAGACTGGAACACTTCTGCAAAGTTAGGAGGCATCCATGTCTCATAGGAGAGGCTTCCTATCACCTGCTGATCTCAACTCTTTCCATGTTAACACAGCTCAGACCTTGATTAGGGAGCGGTGTTAAAACAACACTACTTATAGTTACCTCAAAATATCACCCTTGTTATTATAAAATATATTTCCACAAATATATATCTGCAGTCCCCTAACAGTAGGCAGACCAAGTAGAACAGTTTTGTTCCAATAAGTTTAACAGTAATACAAACAAAATCAGGATTCAATACTTTTATATCTTATAAACTAAAGTTACAATTATTTGGTCTTGTATTACACTTGGATTTTTCCTTCCTTAGTTTTTTTGTTCCATACCGTAAATATACTATAAAATAATTTTCTTCATAAACTTTAAGTGTTTGAATTAATCCAGATAAGAACTCAATCTATAGCTCGAAAGTACTAAGTACTTTTGTGTACACAAAAACACATTTATGTATACAAATACTCAAAGTTGCATGCACATGTACAGACACTGCCCTACTCCCACATCAACTAACATACCATTATAATATTTTCAGACTGGAGTCAAGAAGTCATCCTATGGGAAAAGGATGAGATTCAAAATGAGATGTCAAAATTATATGGTTTTATATTCTTCCCAGCCTTGTCTGTTTCAAAGGAAATAATAAGCAGAGTATCTCAAATGATAACATGGTAGGTTTAATAAAGAGTGTCTTTGGGTCAAGCTGAAACGATTTTAAAATATTTTTAATATATTATTATATATTAGGGAGTCTTGGTGCCTAGTGGTAAAAACTGCACTGTAATTCCAAAGGCACATGGTTTGAATCCACCAGCTGCTCTGCAAAAGATGAAAGATGGGCAATGAAAGATGAAAAATGGACAATCTCCTCCCATGTGATTAACAGCCTCTGAAAACCTGCTGGACGGCCAGCTATGGGTCAGTTCCAATTTGATGGTACTCAACCACAACAACATATGATATTATGTAATAATACTATATTTATAATATTGAGAACAAACTTCTTTTTACCTAGTGATTTTGGTAGAAGATTTTTCACAAATTCTGCATGATCTCCAACGTGCAGTATGCTGTAGACACTGGTATTCATTAGTTCTTCTTGATTGTAACCCAAGTAGCTGGTAACATTCTCTGACACAAATACGATTCTCCCTTCACAGTTCACAACAAAGAAGAATCCATCTAAAGCCTGCAAAGGATTAAGAGTCAAGAGGTTAGAAGACAAAAAGAAAAACAGTGATGAGCACATACATATTTCCCTATTCAAAAAGAAATCAGAACGAGCAGAACAGTATTTACCCAAAACCAAAGTTCAGAAGGCAGGAAGAGGCAGGACAGAAGGAAAAGTGGAAAACAGGAACTCAGAGAAAAAGGGGCTGAGAGCTGCCACACTGAAAGGCCTGTAACTAACGTCATGGAACAAAAATGTATGCATTATTGAATGGAAAACTCATTTGCTCTGTAAACGTTCACCTAAGCCATAAGGAGGGTTTTTTCTCTGTGTTTGTTTTGTGTTTTTTTTTTTTTAAAGGAAAAACAAATCAGAAAGATATATTTAAGTTATGTAGAGTGGCTGGAATTTCTAAATAGACTATACACTAATGTTTTAAGTAGATATGAATGAATATATTAACCTTCTTCCTTGTAATAAATTTTACAGCAGCAGACGTGAAGTCATGATTATCCTATTCATCTAGTTAAAGACATTTCTAAACTACATAGGTTAGGACTTGGTCTCTCTACTCAAGGCACATTACAGCAGGGGAAAGAGAAAGACAGAAACCTAACACACTACCAAAGACAAATGCAGAATCAGAGACAAACAGGGAATATTCTACACAGCAGGACAGCAAGCTTGGGATGAGGGATGTGGGCAAAGAAAAGAGTCCTTATAGAATTTGTCTCTCCCTGACCTGAGTCATAATGGCATGGTGGAGTATGCAGAGAGGAATGAGGAAGGGATCTTCTAGGCAGATAGTGAAGCATAGCACAAAAAGGAAATGAGTAGATTGGGGTACATGGTACAAGGTGCCTGTGCCAGGCAATGAGTCAAGAGAAGTGGAAAGAGGTCAAATCGCAGTGGGTATCCTGTGCAATGACATGGAGACAGGGGTCTCCAAGGGGCAGGTCATATCCACTGAACTGAAGAAAGAAAATGTCAGAACCTCAATTTATACCATAATCTAAAACATGAGGGGCGAATTAAGCTTAATGAACTTAATCGACACCCTGGAGCCTCATTCAACACAGGTGGTCATTCATAACAAAACATGGAATCTTGAGGGAAGATCCAGAATGCAAAGGGTGACAGAAGTCTTTCCGTTTAATGAAATATACTGCAGTATAACTGTTATAAAATATAATAGAAAACGGGAACATTTAAAGAATAGTAATAAAATGTGAAATGACCATAAAAATTCTTGTATTACACAAAGCTTTAGCTGGTTATCTTGTGGGAAAATATTTTAAAAAGATGTCTAACAAAGATGGGCATCTCATTCTCTTTTTCTTTAAAATGGTCCAAATCTGCTGTTTTTTTCTGGTAAGGGTGGTAATAGTCTGCCTAGCAGGTATTTTCCACACTGGAGCACAATTTTCCCCTTCACCATAAGGATAACATTTGAATAATGAATGAAAAGCAAGCAGCTTTAAAAAAAGCATTATGTTTTAATATAAACTAAAATAATATAAAAATACATTTTAAAAAGGAAAAAAATTAGGTTTTAGAGATCACATGTAAAAAAGAAATGTTTGATTTGGTTGCTAAAAATTATTTGTATCGTTTGTAAAAATTATTTATGTCTTCAGCTTAAAAATTCAGGAATAGCATTTTTCACCTGTTTAAAAATCTCCCAGTGTTTCATTAGGATTTAAGTAAAAATTCAGCATCTCCAAATTAGTTTGGAAAGATCACTGACTGATATTAAAGATTATAGAATTTTAATGAAAACTTTCTAGCTTCTTGTCAGTAGGCCAGCAGACCTCAACTGGAAGGTAGAACTTTTTAATGATTATCAATGATCTCAGGTGGGGCTGTAGTTAGGAATCTGGCTACTAACCAAAAGGTCGGCAGTTTGAACCCAGAAGCTGATCTGTGGAAGAAAGATGGGATAGTTGCTTCTCTAAAAGTCTTAGCCTTGGAAACCCTATGAGGCAGTTCTGCTCCATCCGATAAGGTGGCTATGAATTGGAATCTATGCAACGGCAATTTTTAAAAAGTTCATGACCTATAAATCTGATGGGTGGGGTGGGTGAGGGAAATGGAAAGAATCTGTTCTTGAAAACAATGTATTTGAATTTTATAAATAAACTAGTAGAAAAAATACATTATGAAAAAAATTAAAAAGAAAAAATCATGACCTTGGTAAACTCATTTAAGATACCTTTCACACAATGAAGAAATGAGTTTACTAAGGTCATTATTTCTATCTCCTTACCCCAGGTGTCTTTTTCAGCTAAGATGATTATTTAAGCCAAGTATTCAATCACTGCACCACAAAATTTTTAAAAATAATGATAATGTCTTTCGGTGGGCTCAAAAAAGAGCAAAGTTTTGTCTCTATTCTGACTTCTGTAGTCATGTCTCATTTAGTCCACAGAAGTCATGCCATTAATAATCTGAAACCTCAGTACAAAATTAACTCTCTCTTAACTATTTTGATTTATATGGGCATAGGAAAGTACTCTCGTATTTAACTAACTCAATTCTTTTCCATGAGTGCTGGTGGCCTAATGGTAAAATGCTGTGCCATTCCAAAAACAGGTGGTTCAAATTCACCAGTTGCTCTGAAGGAGAGGAAAGGGAAATTTCCTCCCATGTGATTTACTACCTCTAAAACCCTCTGGAGTCAGCTATGGATCAATTTTGACCCCATAGCACACAACAACAATTCTTTTGAAGTCAGATTAGCTATATGTCTCATAGTAGGTTGTCAGCATACTTATTTGTCTTGCAGTATGTATGAAAGCATGGGTGACTGAAATACAAATTTGTCTGCTTTGTAAAAGAAAAATGTCTCAAAATGTTAGCTATTAGCTAGGCCAGTGTAAACACAACTACTTTTATTTAAAAATCATAAATAAATTAGACACCCACCATAAATGTTTTAAAATATTAATATAGTAGAAAATTCACCAAAATCCCACTCTAAAATGATAATAATTGATTACATTTCAGGAAATCCTGAGACTATTATTTATTATTTAGAATCCTTTTCTCCAAGTACTCAGAGTTTGTCTTATGTTGTGCTGTTCACTGGAGGAGGTAACAAATTCCTGTCTGTGGAGCACAACACAATGGATCTGAGAAGTTTGTCTCTACACCCTGGTCTGTCACCTTTTGAAGAGGACAATCTTGTGCATCACAGCACGGTCCACACTGTCCAAGGCTTCTCACAAGAGTCTGGGTTGTTAAATGCATACACACACTTTTCACAGAACTGGGCAATATTCTGGGAATGGGAATATCGGGGATAAACCAAGAATTTATTTTTTGGCTCCTTTCTTTTCTTTTAAACAAGAAAGGAGGGAAGATATTACAAATTTAGATTGAGAATTATATTTTAAATAACCAGAGGACATTCATATGGAAAGAGAGATCTGCACTTAAAAAAAGAGATGACATTCAGAGGTATATGCAAAGCGTTCATCTGTTGAATCTCCTTCTCTCCCAAAGAATATATTTTCTTTGGCAAGTTATTTCTTTCCCATTAAAAAAAGAGCCTCATAGATTTCTTAACAGACATTTAGGATATTTCCTCCCTAAAATGTGAACGTTAAGGAAACTGCAAAAGGACTGATCATGACTGAAGCTCGAGACGATTCACACAACTTTTGCTTTCGAGTTTCCTTTAGGTAGCTCCAGCATTTTTCAAGCATGTTTCTATAATAGCTCAGTGACATTCCAATAAATTTCCATTTATTCTAGTTTAGTTCCATTTAGTTTAGTCAGAAATGAGTCTGTTGCTTTAAATCAGCGACACATGACTGGTATTACAGTCATACACCCATTTGAAGATATTACATAAACATAGATATGGATAAACAATGTCAGTTTGGAGATTATGGTGTGCCTGATCCAGGCCACGGTCTTCACAATTACTTGCTATACATCAGAAAGCTGGACAGTGACTAAAGATCACAGAAGAAGGATCGATGTCTTTGAGTTGTGGTGCTGGAAAAGAGTATTGAACATACCACGGACTACAAACAGGTCTGTCCTAAAGAACATGAAACCAAGCTGCTCCTTGGAGGCAAGGATTTTGAAGCTCTGTCTCATATACTTTGGGCATGTTGCCAGGAGGGATCAGTTCTTGGAGAAGAGCATCATGCTTGGAAGGGTGGAGGAACAATGCAGAAGAAGATCCCAGAGGAGATACAGTGACACAGTAACTGGGATAATGAGGGTGGGTATGTCAAAGACAGAGAGACTGGCTCAGCATAGATTAGCATTGAGAGCTACTGTGCATAAGGTTGCTATGAGTCGCAGGCAACTGGACGGCACTTTACAACAATAACAAATATGGTTAAAAGTGCCCATGAAATGTGCACAGAAATAAAAGGGAAAAGAGACAAAGCCAGATCTCTGAGGGGCACTAACACTTAAATCACAGGTAAAAAAAGAAAATCTGAGAAGGTCTGGGAAGTAATCAGAGAGGTACAGGAGATAGTATTGTCAGGGCTGAGGGAGTGGGGGTCAAAGTATCAAAGTCACACAGAACTGTGGGAAATGATATAAAGCAAGTTAGGGGAACACAGATGCACATGCAAAGTGTAAGGAGACCTGCTTGGCTAAAACAGAATCTTTCATGGACAGTGGGAAATGGGGAGGTCTAGGCAAGTGTAGGGACTGAGGAGTGGGCAGAGGAATTTAGACTTGCTGCAACAGTTAAGAGACACGAAGAAATGAGGAATTTCTTTTAAAAAAAATTCCATGTGTCAGGCATGGCAAGAAATGGTCTCATTCAACCTTTATAGTAATTTCATGGGGTAAATAGCCAGTATTACATAGGTAGTTAAAAAATCCAGAAAGAAACCTATTACTATCAAGTCAATTCTGGCTCACAGCAACCATACAGAATAGAACTGCCCAGGGTTGTAAATCATTAGGAGAGTAAATTGTTTGACCTTTCTCAGTGGACTAGCTCTGGTCCACCATTCAGTTAGCAGTCAAGTGCTTTAACCATGCTACCATCAGGCTTCCCTGACATAGAGTAGGTGTTGACAAAATTGTTGAGTTAATAAATTCTAATATTAATCTCTCTTTACTCATTATTGAATTCCTTCCAATTTTAACTCATGCTATCTAAAAGTTAAGAGTTAAAAAAATTGATCTACAAACAGGAAAGAATAAAGTAGATGAATAGGACCTTCTACAAATTAAATCCTTATGCACACCAAAAAACTTCTCCCACAGGGTAAAAAAAAAAAGAAACCCACAGACTGGGAAAAAAATATCTGGCACATATCTGATAAGAAACTTATCGCTAAGATTTATAGAATACACTGGGTACTTCAACAAGAAAAAAAGGAAACAAATTTCTCATATTATAGTACAATTTATTTCCTTTTTTAAAAGACAGATGCTCCATCTGAGAAAGACTCCCTAGACCACGCTTTTCAAATAGAATTTTCTACTATGATGGAATATATTTATGTTGTCCAGCATAAAAGTTACAAGTTACACCTGAAATGTAGCTAGTTGTTGTTGTCAGTTGCCACCAAGTTAATTCCCACTTGTGGACAACTGACACGTGCACACAAGAACGTCTGCACAGGGCTGTGAAGCCTATGATCTTCATGGATGCATATCACCAGCTCCGTCTTCTCAAGCATTTCTTTGGGACGTTGAACCAGCAGCCTTTCACCTCATAGTCAAATGCTTAACAATTTGAGCAACCCAAGAATTAGTTACAATACCACATAAAACCAAACCCATTGCTGTCAACTCAATTCCGACTCAGAGGGCAGAACAGAACCTTACAGGGTTTTCAGAACATAAATCATTATGGAAGCACACTGCCACATCATTCTGAGGGCAGTGGAGAGCTCCTTTCTTCAGCCTGAGGCTAGAAGCCCAGTGTTTTAGCCATTAGGCCATCAGCTGCTAGTAGGAAAGTAAGAAAATATTTAGCAGTTAGTTAGAGTACAGGAATGGAATACAGGGAAGAAGTTTTGGGTGTTAACTGCACAGAGATGAAAGGTAAAGCAGAGACTAAATGGTATTGTGGGGTTGGACATGCAAGAACTCAATTTTGAGAATGTCCTCATACTATTGGTAGTGACAGAGAACTAAGGCTAGTAAAAAAGAGGAGTACATAGGGTCCCAGGAATAGAAGAATAAAGGCATTAGAAAAGAAAAAGGCTTGGGGATGGGGTGTGGGGTTTGGGGAGGTGCGGGGGGATTGTGTACTAATTGAGGGAGTTTTTCTCTTGCTTTTCAAGGAGAGGAGCAAATGGGGGGGGTGCGGGGAGAAGGGTGCAACAATGAATGAATGGAATTCCAATATCTCTGTAGATATTAATTGAAATGAAAAATAAACAAACTAAATCATTTAAAAAAAAAAAAGAAAAAGGCTAATGAAAGATTGCGTGGTTAGGAAGACCACACCAGAAAAGAGAGGTGTTAGGCAAGGCAAAGCAAGAAGTTTATATATAAATAAGAAAATAATTAGGTAGGAAACACATACTGGAAAATGTTTATGTGTACACATATATACTTACTTATATTTATACACATAGGTATGAGAGGGAGCAGTTAAAGTGTGGGCCTGCTTCGAAGAAAACTTTTGAGTCGAGAACAGTGGGAAGGTAGGTAAAGGGAGATATGACAAAGTGATCATTCAAGTTTAAAAGCTCTTCGTTTTACACAATTTAAAAGAGCATTGTTAATACAGTGCATCCCCTTAGAATGTTTATACAAATAGATTTTATAAATTTTAGTCAGAAAACTTTTCAGGAACACACATATTAGGGTAAAGTGAGGCACCCTCACTCAAAAGTGAAATTCCACAGCAAATATATTTAGATAGCACTTGCTTAGTAAATAATTCAACAGAGTTTTACTTTCCTTACTAGTCCTAGCCATTCCAGAAATAAAGTCAAAACCATACATAAACTTCAGTTTTCCTCATGACTACTTTATCAAAATTTTTCCTGCTTGCGGTTCACATTGGAATTATAACAAATTTTAAATAGTTTCCATCATAAAATAACTATTTTATCACTTCACAATCTCATCAGAAAATGTTGCTTGCTATCTTCCTGTACTTTGCTATTGTTTTCTGGGGTGAGGTGGTAACACGTATTTGTTCAGATTTGCATTTCTCATAGTTAGGGATATTAAGCATTTCTTTCTTTTTTAAAAAAATGGTATTTTAATGAAAGTTTACAGAGAACTTGGATTTTCATTCATTCATTCATTGTTGCACATTTTCTCTCTACCCCTCCCCAATTCACTTTTCTCTCTGGAAACAAAAAAATTCTTTCATTGTTGCACAATGTCATCCCTCTCTGCTCCCTCAGTCCACTTTGCTATGCATCTCTTCTTGTTCAAGACTGTGGTCATTAAAAAAATACCTGATCATATATTCCTTTTAAACAGTTCTCTCCCTCATCTGTTTCAATGCAGCATACATAATTAATCCCCTTTTCTTAGTTTCTCCCAACCCCCAAGTATCTTCTATTTTATAACAGGGGCATTATGCAGTATTTGTCCTTTTGTGACTGGGATATTTCAAAGCATAATATCCTCCAGGGTCACCCATTCTGTATAATATTTTATAACTTCCTTGTTTTTCAGTGCTGTCTAGTATTCTATTGTGTGAAGATACCATAGCTTCTCTATCCATTCCTTTGTTGATGGGCACTTGGGTTGTTTCCAACTCTTTACACTATTGTGAATAATGCAGCAGTAAACATAGTAATACATATATCTGTTTTGGTGGAAGTTTTGGTTTCTTTTTTTTTTTTTAATTTATTTACTATGCGTGTACCATCAAATCAGATCTGACTGGTACAGGAGGGAAATTTTCCCTCCTTCTCCGGCACAGCATCTGGTAGATTTGAACCGTGTACCTCTGGGATTGCAGTACAGCTTCTTGCCACTAGGCCAACAGAGCTCCCCCGGAAGTTTTGGTTTCTTTAGTGTATATTCCCAGTAGTGGAATTTCTGGGTCAAATGGTATTTCTATTGCCAACTTTTTGAGAAAGCACCATACTGCCTTCCATAGTGGTTGTATAATTTTATACTCCCACCAACAGCGAATAATGATTCCAGTTTCTTCACAACCTCACCAGCATTTGTTGTTTGCTGCCCTGCTGAATTTTGCTATTCTTATTGGGGTAAGATGATATCTCATAGTTATTTTGATTTGCATCTCTCTTAGAGCTAGGGGTTTTGAACATTTCTTCATCTGTTTGTTCACCAACTGAATGTTTTCTTTAGTGAAGTGTTTATTCATATTTTGTGCCCATTTCACAATTACCTTTTTCTTTGAGATATTCAAGTATTCTATAAATTTTACAGATAAATCCCTTGTCAGATATGTGACTGGCAAATATTTTTTTCTAGTCTGTGGGTTTCCTTCTTACCCTGTTGGAAAAGTTAATTAATGTGCACAGGATTTGATTCTTAGAAGATCTCATTCATCTATGTAGTCTCTCTTGCTTGTAGGATTTTCATTATGCTTGGAAGTCTGTTCATGCTGTGGATTAGGGTTTCTAGAGTTGCTACTAGCTTTTCTCTGATGAATTTTATAGTCTTTGGTTTTAGTCCTAGGGCCCTGATCCACCTTGAGTTGGTTTTTTTTATATGGTGTAAGGTGTGAGTCTTGCTTAAGTTTTCTGCAGATGACTTTTGCAAAACATTACACAGTATGGGTGAGCCCAGAGGACATTATGCTGAATGAAATAACTCAGGCACAAAAGGCCAAATACTGCATAGTACTGCTGTTATAAAATATGATTGACATGGGGGGGGGTTAGGGAGAGAATAGGAAAAAAGTGGATAGATAAGGAACATCGCACAGGAACAGATGAGGGGAAGAACAGTCTAAAAGGAATATATGATTAGTTATTCTATGTAAAACAGCAATGTGGAACAAGTGGTGTATTACAAAGCAGATTGGGGGAGGAGGCAAGCAGGGGCAGAAAAGGAAATGTTTAACAATAAATGAACAAAAAACCAAAACAATGCTTTATAATTAATTGTATTTTGTTATGTACTATTAAGTTGCCTGCGACTCATAGTGACCCTATGTACAACAGCTCTAAAGCTTGCCCTATCCTGAGCCAGTCTCACTGACTCTGGTACACCTATGCTTATTATCCCATTTACAGTATCAATTCATCTCATCTGGGGTCTTCCTCTCCTATGCTGTCTCTCCACCATTCTGAGCATGATGTCCCTCTCCAAGGACTAGTTCCTCCTGGCCATGTGCCCAAAGTATGTGAGATGGAGTTTCAAAATCCTAGCCTCCAAGGAGAAACTTGGTTTCACCTTTTACAAGACAGATTTACTTGCTTTCTTGGCAATCCATAGTATGTTCAAGACTCTTCTCCAGCACCAAACTTAAAGGCATTGATTCCTCTTCTGTTATCCTTAGTCATTATCCAGCTCTCTGATGCACAGAAAATAATTGCAAAGACCATGGCTTGGATCAGGCACACCCTAGTCTCTAGACTGACACTGTTGCTTCTCAGTACTCTGGAGAGGTACCTGATAACAGATTTTCCCAGTGCAATTCATCTTTTGATTTCCTGACTACTGGTACCAAAGTATAAAAGATGACAAGAGATAAAAAGAAAAACCAAAACAAATTAGTTGAGATTCTATTCACTTTCTAAGTCCATGTGAATACATACCTCCAAAAGAAGAGGCCCCAAAGACTCCTTTTCAATCACTCCTTGGCTACTAGATGAAATGTCTGATTTCTGAACGTCATCGTCAGTTGTTGATTTTTCTGTAATAAAAAAACTAAAACAGTCAGAATTTAAAAAGGTATGTTTCCCAAAAGGCAAGTTTATGAGGACATATATTCATAGCATTTAGGAACTTTCATCTTCATTTTTCTGGAGAATGACATGGAGGATCATTAAGTTAAGCAATGTGCCTTGATTCACAGAACCAGAGAGTGGCAGCAAACTGAATCTTGACCTACCAAACCCAGTGTTCCAACAAAAAATCCTTTAAGTACACAGACCTTTTTTTTAATTATTTTATTATTTTTTTGTGTGTACTGTCAAATTGGATCTGACTGGTACTGGAGGAGATTGTCCCTCCTTCAAGCAGAGCATCTGATCCATTTGAACTATGACCCTCTGGGATTACAGTGCAGCTTCCTGCCACTAGGCCACCAGAGCTCCCTAGTACACAGACTTTTTAAAAACAAAGTCCACACCAAAAGTTTTTAAGAAATAGATAAATTATAAAAAAAATTATTTCCTCTATTTTTCTTTTTTCCTTTCCTATCAACAGTGCAGGAGGGGAAGGCCCTCTATGAGGTGGATTGATTCAGCGACTGGGGTAATCAGGATGGGAGTGTCAGAGACAGTGCGATTAGCACAGGACAGAGTAGAGTTTAGGGCTATTGTACATAGGGTCGCTATGAGTTACAAGTGACTCAACGGCACATAACAACAACAACATCAATGGCCAAGAAAAGAGAATAAGAACATAATTTCTAGAGTAAGTATGAACAAGCCAACTTTCACATTCATATTATGATGTTCTGAATGATAAAACTGTAAATGCGAAATGATTTGGAGATTTTGATGGTGATATTAAAAAATATGTCTCCATACTTTTTAAAAAAAACAGATTTATTTGAATGAAATGTTACTATTGGCTTTCCATTCAATTATTCACGTATATATTTTTTCTCATAACATTAATTCTAATTAATAGTTAACTATTGATAATATCTGATCAAACTCTTATAATACATGCCTTTCCCTTTATCCAACCTAGTAAGTGTTTATTATCTAATTAATTTTTACTCCCTTCCTCCCTTCCCATTCCTGGTACCCAAGAAAGAATGGTATGTAAGGCTTTCTTTAGCTTTTTGTAATAGTGGTCTTCTAAAATAATCATCCTTTTGTGATAGACTTAGAGAGTTGCAATACTAATCCAAAGGACACTGCCTCTCTGGCAACCTGAATCTACCAGTTTCTCTGCAGGAGAAAGACAGGCAACTCCCTCTTGTATGATTTAAAGCCTAGGAAACCCAGTGGCAGGTCTGATTTAATGGCAATGAGTTGAGTAGTTGTGTCACTCAGCATAAATTCCTCTAGATTTATCCATGCAATGAAATTTCATTCATTCTTTCTTTAGTGTTGCATAATACTCCACTGTATGAACAAACAATAGTTCCTTTAACCACTCATTGATTAATGGACATTAATGGGTTATTTCTAACTCTGTTGTAAATAATGCTACAAAAAACATGGGAATGCATCTAGCAGTTCATATCACAGCTCTTATTTCCTAAGGATATAGACCTTGCAGTGGGATTGCAGGAGAAAGTAATATTTGCATTTTCAAACTTTTAAGGAAGTGCCAGACTGCTTTCCACAGTGATTACACCATTCTACATTCCCACCAATAGCATGAGAGTTCCAATCTCTCCACATGTTTGGTTTACAGTCTTACTGAACTTGTTTAGAAAAGGTAGAGGATCTGAAAGAGAGGAAAACCCTCAACAAAATGATCAACACAGTGGTTGTAGCAATGGGCTCAAACATACCAGGGATGGTGAGCATGGCACAGGCAAATTTGTTGTTCACAGCGTTGCTATGAGTTGTAGCTGGCTCAAAGGCACCTGACAACAACATTATTGCTAGGGTGTCAGTCCCCATTTCTTAAAGAAACTTCATACTTAATTTCTTTTTTTAAAGTCCAATCTGTTTTATGAATAACTGATTGCTACTGAGTTAATTTTGACTCATAAGGAGTTAAATTCAGCAAAACCCAAATGTAGGTATTAATGAATATAGGCATTCGTGTCTTTATTTTTAAATATACAGAAAAAATACAGTATAAACACCCACAGTCACTATTGAATTTTCACAGATGTTAACATTTTGCCACTATTTGCTTCAAATCTTTCCTTTTTAAATAAACAAAATGTAGGTATTTCCAAAACCCTGCTATTTTCCTTGAGAAAGACTGTTCTTCTGAGTTTGCCATATTATCATTTCTGAGCATTTTACTACACATACATAATTTAGTGAATATAGTATTATCCTGTTTTAAAATTTACATAAACTTATATAGACTTTTTACTATTCCAACTCAAAAGGATTTCAGATTTAACTATATTGAATACATATAAATTCATTTTAACTGCTGTATAAATTACTCACCATTGATTTTGCTACTGCTCTACTGATGGGACTCTTTCATACTATACCCAGTTTCATAATAAATACAATTTTCAGTACTGCCTCTTCTGAAAGTGTGTGATGGTTTCTTTAGGGTAAACACCAGAAGTGAAACTGCTGGACACAGGGTCTGTGTAACTTCAACATTACTAAGTACTAACAAAGTGCTCTCTAGAGTTTATACCACTGATAATGTAAAAAAGGATTTTGTTTTTCTGGATCTCACGCTTAAAGTGATATTGGATACAAATAATCATCTCTTCATTTTAAAACATGACAGTGGCTTAATTTTATACTCATGTTTCATTTGGATGAACACAGAATCCTAAACCTCGGATTCTAGTGTTTACGGTTATTGAAAAGTCTGGGCTCATTCCAAAAGCAACCTAATGTGTGACTTTTTGTCACTAAGCTGAACACTGATGCAAGCTTTTCTTTCTTTATAATTCACTGTGTTGGGTTAATTCACTCATTTACATGAATGTTTGCCATCTCTAAATTTCTCTCTCTAGTTCTGTAAAAAAGCCCAACTTTTTCTCTCATAATCTCTCCCCTTCTATTTGATCTGTGTTCATGACTGACTGTAACAATGGGCTTGAGCACAGCAGAGATTGTGAGTGGCAGGATTGAGCACACTCCATTCTATTGTTCACAATATTGTCTCTATGAATCTTAATTGACTCAATGGCTCCGAAAACCAATCATATGCTGCACATTTTAAAACAGCCGTATACATTTCTTTTTTCCTTACTTTTCAAATGGAGAAATGACAACTTCTTCAACAAATCATGCTGGAAAAACTGGACTTGTACCTGCAGAAAGCTAAAGCAGAATCCCTATCTCTCACTATACACAAAAAATCAATGCAAGATGGATTAAAGATCTAGCCCTTCTAAGTTTGGTCCCATTTTGTCTCTTAGGATCTTTATGGTTTTCACAAAACTTAGAAGGCCTAGTCTACGGTATAAAGAAGCTGACAAATACAGACAGAAATGCACAACCAGTAGAGGATTACATCGATGAATGGGGCTTCCTAAAGATTACGTCCCTGTTTACATCAAAACTGTTCTCAATAGGGTGAAAAGAAAGCCTACTGACTGGGAAAAACATTTGGCAATGCAATCTCAGATGAGGGTCTACAGAATCATACAGGGCTACCACAAGAAAAATAATGAGAATAAAACTACAAAATGGGCAAAAGACATGGTAAGACTTTTCACAGATTGCGATGGCCAACAGACAGATGAAGAAATACTCAAAATCACTGGCACTAAGAGAGACACAAATCAAAACTACAATGAGTTATCATCTCCAGTAGTAGTGGCAAAGTTTAACAAGATAGCAAGTAATAAATATTGGAGAGGATGTGGAGAGATAGGAACTCTTATACACTATTTGTGGGATAGTAAAATGGTACAACCATTCTGGTAGGCAGTTTCACATTTCCTAAAAAAAAAACCCTGAATGTAGAAATTCCATACAACCCAGCTATTCCACTGTTAGGCATATACCCTTAGGAACATTTCTTAACTCACTTTCTACTGCTTGTCTTATATTTATTTCTAAGTGGATTCTTCACATTATCTTTCAGCCTTTTATTTATTCAATTAATATTCACTGGAAGCTTACCATGTAGTTAGAAGTTATTTTATGCATTGAGGGTATAATGGGGTACAGGTAAAATCCTCACCTTCCTGGAGCTCTATTAGTGATATGCAGACAATAAACAAGCTAAAAATATAAATACATATACTTCACAGACATAAAACATGCTGTGAGAAAAACCAATGAAACAGTGAGAGTGATGTACAAGGCTTTTTTTAGTTGGTTTTGTTTTATAACTTTTAAATAGGGTAAATAGAAACCTTTATTGGGTTTCCAAGGTTATACTCTTTAGGGAAGGACATTATCCATTTTTCTCCCTTGGAGCAGCTGGTAGATTAGAATTACTGATCCTTCATTTAGCAGCTTGAGAGCTCCATACATTAGGCAATATGCCATTAGGGTGCTTCCTTTAAATAGTCTTTGCTCATTGCCAAAGAGTAGGACCAGACTCATAGCTGACTAAAAGGTTTCAGAGGCTGCAAATCCCACAGGAGGAGATCGCCCATCCTTTTCCCTTAAAGCCCCTGGGATATCTCAACTGCCAAAGAGGTGTGGCATTTTGGTGAGCAGGGCAACTCCCTCCTGATTATGCCACTATAGCTTCCTTTAAATAGGGTAATTGGGAATCATTTCATTTAGAAGAGAGATCTGAGTAAAGACACAAGAAGGATGAGGGAGTAAGCCATGTGGCTGTCCAGGAAAGAGGCGTCTAGGATGTAGGAACTGCAGGTGCACAGCATACCTGAGGCATTGCATGCCTGAGTGTATGGAGCAGGTGTGAGGAGGCAAAGAGAAGAAAGAAAACTAAAGATGTAAGGTTTTTTCGCTGAGGGGTAATTTTCTTGGGTTATCATGTTTTTCATTTCCAAAAGCTAATCTTGTTTTGGTTTCATTTTAATGTCATACATGAATGAAATATCTTGCCTTCTGTCTCTGTAGGGAACTGTTTGCTTGTTTTAAGTTTTTTTTTACTCCTTGCATTGCCTCTGCTTCCTTTGAGTTATTTTTCTATTTTTTGCTGGTTTTGTTCTCTTTAATATTACAGGCTTTCTTTAAATATTAGGCTTTCTGTTCATGTTAAAAGAATGAGGTACTAAAAAATTTATTTGCATCTGTGTGAAGGGAAAAACAAGGTGAAGGGCTGATTTTTTAATTTGAGGATCTCCAACCGTCACCAGCATCTGTATGTCTTTTTCACTCGTACTGCCCAACTTCCCCAGAGTAATTCCCCCATCTGCTTAAAGAGTAGAACCAGACTGTAGAGATGTTTTGACACTGAGCAGAGAAGGACCCTAATGTTGTACTGGTTTTTGCAACTTGCAATCCTAGTTTCTCCTGTCTGCTCAATCAGCTACCATTAGACTATTTGTTTTACAAGTCCTAAGATCTTGTAGACATCTCCTGTCTGCTGTCATCTCCTCACAAATTTTATCTGTGGGTGTATGCTTTTATTATTGTTTTCTATGCTATCTTAATGGAGTTTCTGGGGAAAGTATAATAAACAAAAATGTGTATTTTAATATAACTAAAAATTTCCTGCTTAACAAGTTTTTCTGTTAAAACTATGTGATTGTAGTGTGTCATGAATAGGCATTTGCGTTTTTACTCATTGTAGATGATTTCTCTGTATGTTGCAGACTTTTTTTAGTAGAAAAGCACCATCAGAAAAACTTTCCTGTGGAAACTTCATTTAAGCCAGGTTGTAGGAGTGTTCTGCCATAGTGCTTTGCTTTTGCTTTTGTATACAACACACAGGTTTCTTGTCATTTCCAGGAGTATAAACAGTATAAATATGAAAAACTTTCCCCAATCCAGAGCCCAAGTACAGACCAGTTTCCCTATCTGTTTTTCCCCTTCAATGAATTCTTCAACACTATGTAGGGTATACTGGGTTCCACTTTACAACTGTGTCTCCAGGCTTAGTATCTCAGGATACTGAGTCCCAAAACTTCCCAAACCAGGTTTCAAGTTAATGCATTAATAAGCCATTTCATTGTAATGAGATGGCCCTCAGATTCCCTTTGAAAAATAATTATCAATGAGCTCTGGTGGCCTAGTGGCAAGAAGCTGTACTGCAATCCCAGAGGTACACAGTTCAAATCTACCAGATGCTCTGCCGGAGAAGGAGGGACAATTTCCTCCTGTACCAGTCAGATCTAATTTGACAGCACATGCACAAAAAATAATAATAAAATAAAAAAAAATTATCAGTCGAAAATGTTTCTTTAATAACAGTATAGTATTCAATATACTTTCTCAATAATAAAACTAAAACCACATAATATAAATATCTTAATAATACAGCATACAGCTAAAGGGGTTTTTTGTTTTGTTTTTACCTTGTTCCATCCTCTTCATTAGCTGTATCTGATCGACTGTCTTTTTCAAAATCTTGCATTTGTCTGGTTTTACACTCAAGCTGTCAATGTCACTGATGTTGGCAGAAAGTAATTCTGCTAGCTCTTCTAAATATTTATTTTCTTGCTCCCTGCGCCTCTTTTCAGTGCTGTTACATAAAGAAAATCCAGTTAGTAGCATGTCAAACTTAACATTTCTTTCTCTGATGAAGTATGTATTACTTAAACATGTATAGAAATCTTTATTTTTAATACAGATTATATGGCCAGATTTGGAAAGCAATTTAAATTCATGTCTAAAAATCAGAGAGTAAAACAACTATGACTAAGATACATAAAGTATATGACTGCTACACAGGTAGCAGTCATATATATATACACACACACACACACACACACATACATATATATATACACACACACATACATATATATACACACACACAGACATGATTTTATATATATGATTTGTATATATATGATTTTGTGTGTGTGTGTGTATATATAAAGTTACTATAGAGTACTGGATGTTGTTGTTGTTGTTGTTGTTAAGTGCCGTCGAGTCGCAGGCGACTCACAGCGACCCTATGAAGGAGAGTCCTCGACGCTTGGGTGCCTTTCATCCGCTCTCCAGGTTCATAGAGTTTCTGGAGGCAAGCTATTACGGAACTGGATGCCACTCCTTCTTCCAAAGGAAAAAAAAAACCACAAAACTTCAAAAAGTTTATAAAACAAACAAAAACACCCAACCAGTTGTCATTGAACTAATCCCTACTTGTTATAACCCCCCATATGCTGCAAAGCACAACTGCAGTCCATAGGGTTTTCAAAGCCATGTCCAGATAGATTTTTTCTGTAGTGCCTTCTGTAACTTTGCACTGGCAACCTTTCAGTAAGTAGCTGAATGGTTAATCATTTATTCGTGCCATCCAGGGACTGTGGATATGTAAAGTAATGAAGAAGTAAATACACTAACTACAAAATAATTTGGAAGAATTTTACATAATAATTTTTCCTTAAAATTGAAGAGTTTTCTAGTAACTTCATTCTGATTATTTAGGACAGACAATACTAGAGAATGCAGATAAATGATAATAAAAAGTATGACAAACTCTTGATTCTTATGATGATTATAAATATGTTTCATCTACATGAGAAAGAGAAGAGTATCTATTTAAAAAGTATAATAAAAATGTAAATAAATAGAGATAAAGGTACAGAGGAAAATGTCTTCAGTGCACAACTCTGTCCTTAAAAAAAACTGTGTAAGGATGAAGGAAATTGGAAGAATCTGATGGGGAAAAAGAATGTATTCTAATTTTGTAAATAAACTAGTATAATTTAAAAAAAAATATCAGTTGAGTCTCTCTC